AAGACGTCACGCTACCGGCCGCAGTCTTCGAAGCTCCCAGCACTTCTGACCCACGGTTTAGGGTTTAGGGTTTAGGGTTTAGTAGGGTTTAGGGTTTAGTAGGGTTTAGGGTTTAGGGTTTAGGGTTTAGGGCCGCGCTAGGGCTTAGGGTTTAGGTCTGAGGGGCCCCCATGCCTTAAGGAAAGGCACAAGTATTTCTCCTAGACCTAGGGGCGTGCAAACTACATCTTCACGCGGCGTTGTTTGCGCATGTGTAGGGGCCTGTAGACCTTGAACGGCTCGAGAGGGTAAGAGCAACTTCACAGCCCATGCAGACGACGGTTAGTAACTTCGACCAGATGTTCGTCTGCTCTTCTTATCTGACGTGTTTACTTTAAAGATTTTAAGGCGTTGCACGAGAGGGCCGGTTGCCCTAAACCCTACCTCCTAAACCCTACTTCGGGATGTTTCCCCTCATGCTAACAGCCCTTAGTACGGATCATCGTACCCGCTATTATTATCCCTACTATGGACAGTTAGTTTTAGGGGAAACATCCCAACCGGGTCCCAACCTCCATCCTAATCCCCTAAACCCCTAAACCCCCAAACCGCTAATCCCCTAAACCCCTAAACCCCTGAACCCCTGAACCCCTGAACCCCTAAACCCCTAAACCCTACTGTAAGCCCTTAGCATGAAGAGTTGTGGGCAGCGACCCCTGTTTGCAGGAGCGGCAGTGGCAGGAATGGATCCCCCGATGGACAAGAAAGAGCCGTCCCCCGGCTTGGAGAAGCTTCGGTTCGGGTTTAGGGTTTAGGGCTTAGGGCTTATAGGGCTTAGGGCTTTAGGGTTTTGGGTTAAGGTTGTAGGGTTTAGGGTTTAGGGTTTAGGGGTTTGAGTCGAGGGCTTAGTGGTTTCAAGTTCGCGGGCAGCGGGCGCGAGTGTCTTTAGTGTCCCCCGCCATGTTGGCCAGCATAGCACCCGGGTGATGCATTTGAGTGGGGATCTGTGACCACTAACTATGCCAGTTACAGTACTATTCCTGATTCCTGTTACTATTACTAGTACTGTTTCATTGTTATTATCATTTATTGTTTCTCTTTAGATTACGATATCTATTACGATTACTAGTACTGGTACGGCACCAATTAGCTAGAACAATTATCTGTCTCGTTTAAATTAGCAAGCAACAACAATCTATTAGCTATGAACGCTTAAAACTATCACAATTAGGTATTACTACTCTGCTTGTCACCTTGTTGCTATCATTCTGTGCGGGAGGGGCCCACTCGAGCTTAGGGCTGGGTGACAGCCGCATGGGAACCTCAAGACCGGGCCCCTGGTGCAGCGCACATCTCCTCCTCAACCCCTGAAGTTCCCCCTTAACGCCAAGATGACTCAGGCCTAAGAACCCCTAAACCCTAAACCCCACCTGCCCCCCGATTGCCCATTAATAAAGAGGACTTATATGCCCTTCTGTTACGGTTGAGAGGTGCTGTTCAGCCCTAAACCCTAAACCCTTAAGAGCACCACAAGCCCAATAGATTCACCCAAGCCGCGCTCGCCGAGGCCGAAGCTCAATGCGCCCCCTGCCAGCGGCGCCGCTCAATCTCGGACCCGGACAGGCCCCAGATGCGAGGAAAACAGGGTTTTGGGTAGTGGGCTCAGGATTTCGGGTTGGGGGTTTAGGGTTCAGGGTTCAGGGTTGAGATGGACCCTAAACCCTAAACCCTAAACCAGAGTATCACCCTAAACCTAAACCCTAAAGCCTAAACCCTAAACCCTAAACCCAGAAAAGGGGCGGGGAGTTTTGCGCCAGGTCCGAAACGGAAGCCGGTGAAGGGCGCCCGCGCGCGCGAGGACCCGAAGAGCAGCTTGGCGGCAGCTGCTGGGGTTTAGGGTTTAGGTTTTGGGTTTTGGGTTTTGGGTTTGGGGTTTTGGGTTTTGGGTTTAGGGTTTAGGGTTTGGGGTTAAAACCCTAAAATTGAAGCCCCCAACCCCAAGATAAGAAAGGCGCGGGATCCTGTAGCCCCAGGGGCTCCTGAGCCCTAAATCCTAGAACCCCAAAACTCCCCAAACCCTAAACCCCAAACCCTAAACCCTAAACCCTAAAGACCCCAACTCCAAACCTCCAAAATCCTAGCGCCGCGACCATCTTAGAGCTTCAGGTGCTCGAAAGCCCCAAACCCCTAAAGTTCCTAAAACCCTCAGGCTGAGGCTTTAAAGGTTTAAGGTTAGGGTTTAGGGTTTGGGGGTCGGGCACTAGCAGCCCTACCGGATCTGAGATCTGTCGGGTCCAGGGTGTACAAGGGCTTTGCGGCTTTGCTGGTTCCAAGCAAGATGTGGCTTTCGAGGAGGGCTCCCAGGATTGTTGAGCCTACCCAAACCTCCTTGAAGCCAAACGCCTGTCGAGACCTCTTGTCGGTTTAGGCTGTCTTTGGGGCTTTGCAGGTTTAGGGAACCCGAAGCCCCCACCTCCCCTCTGCAGCCTTAAGAGCCGCAAGGTGGGAACGCGAAGGCCGCGGCCCAAGTCGCAAGCTGCGAGTCTTGACAACTCGCGACGAGTACACAAGACTACGGCTTACGGCAGGGTTTAAGCTTCTGCAGGTTTTTCTGGGACATTCGAAGTATAAATGCCCGTGCTATAGCAGCGGGGTTTTGAGTGCGCCCTCAGCTCAGACTTGATGAGCATCCATTCGGGCTAAGCACACATAAGGTTTCTATTGGCACGCTTCAATGTAAGACCCGCCTGGCAACACTGTCAACAGCAGCTCAGCTCAGCCGAGGTCGAATAATAACCAGCTGTATTGCTAGAAAAGTTGAAGGTTCTTCTTCAAAGCATTTCAACACTGTATGGTTTGTGGTGACTCACCTACGCCGAGCATGAAGTTTGTCGGGGAGCGGGTTGCGCCCAAGCAGCGAGAGCAAGAATACAGTCCCTTCCTGGGATACAGGCAAGGGACAAAGGGTGAGATGTACAACGCGTCATACAGTTTCCCTAAACCATAAACCCCAAACCCTAAAGGCTGAAAAAGCACGTGCGAGCGCACAGCATGCCCAACACTGGCGAGACAGCGGCAGCGCCGAGTACAGGGCAAAGAAGATGCTAGTTGTCCCGCACTGTCCAGACCCCAGATCCCTAAACCCTATTACTAAGCCCCCACTCCCAAAGACTAAATATTAATACATGAATAACTTGATATATATATATATATATATATACGTATGTATATGGTCGCCCCCCCTCATGATCCATATATATATATATATATACACATACATAGACATATACATATACATATATACATATATACATATATACATATATACATATATACATATATACATATATATGGTCATATATATATATACATATATATATATATATATGTATATATACATACATATTATGTGTATATTAATACATATATATATATCATATATCAACATGCGGAGATATTAACATATCAAGCACCGGAGCTTGCTCCAGACTGAAGCCCGATGGCGAACCCTTCAGGAAGCGCCTTAAACCAACGAGGTAAAGCCGAAAGGTAAGCCCTAAAGGGGCCTAGGAGGGTTCTTGATATCCCGGCAAAGGCCCCCTAAGCCCTCAAAGCCTTAGACCCTCCAAAAAACACACACACACACACACACAGCCTTGAAACCTCTACCCGACAAAGCTAAGCCTTGACCCTAAAAGCCCCCTAAAGTGCAAAGTGCACCCCCTAAACCCTAAACCCCTCAACCCTAAACCCTAACCCCCCCCCAAAAAAAAAAAACAAAAAACAATAATAGTAAACACACACACACACACACACACGCAAAAAAACAAAAAACAAACTCAACTGCGCACAAGCCTTGCGCGCTCCAAGGCTCCAGCCTCACAAGGCTTCCACGAAAGGAAGAAAGGCGCTCCAAGGGGGTGCGGTTTAGGGGTTAGGGCTTGGGGTTTGGGGTTTGTGGTTTCGGGTTAGGGAGGGGTTGGAGGGGAGTGGTGGGGTGCGTTTAGGGCTTGGGCTCTGGAGGTCCAGGGCTTCCCCCCCTCCCCCCCTATTACAGGTTAAGGGTTGAGGGTTGAGGGTTTAGGGTTCTTTGGATACTTATCAGGGCGTTTACGTGGCTTGTTAAGGCTTCTGGGGCCTGTAGGTCAGAGTTCGGGTGGAGTGGGTTTCGGGTTTTGAAGGTTGAGGGCTTATTCGGGCTTGTGGGGCTTGTGCATGGTCCTGCACCAGGTCTTCATTTATTTTTTGGGCGGGTATCGGCTTAGTTTTGGGTTAGGGTTTGGGTTCCTGCTGTGAATCCCTACAAGATTGTGGGATGGAACCCTACCCTAGGCCCCTTTTCGGGGCACTTTTATGTCCTACCCGCCAACCCAAAACCCCAAACCCGAAGCCCTAAACCCTAAGCCCGAAAGCCCTACATCCTAAACCCCCAGAACCCTAAACCCCAAACCCTAAACCCCAACCCCTAAACCCTAAACCCTAAACCCCAAACCCCAAACCCTAAACCCCAAACCCTAAACCCCAAACCTATCTAAACCCTAAACCCCAAACAGGCAAGTACGTCTCCGTGGCGCCGGGTGGTCTCCGCGCCCGCCACAAAGCGCCGGACATGGAGCGCCCTGGCAGCCAAGGGTTTAGGGTTTGGGGTTTAGGGTTTAGGGTTTAGGGTTTAGGGTTTAGGCCTTAGGGTTTAGGGGCCTGGTCAGGGCTTTGGGGGTGTGGGGCTTAGGGTTTGGGGTTCTTGGTCCCCAGTGGTACCCTTTTTCCCTTTTTTTGTGGTTCAAGGATTCCTTGTTACAAAGTAGCCAACCCCAAAAAGGCTACCCGTCTCGTAATATGGTTACTGACTTAACCAGGTTTGGGGTGAGGGATTTAGGGTTGGGTTGTTGGCTTGAGGCTTTTAAGTTCTTTGGCTTCAGGTTTGGTGGTAAGGCTGAAGGGTTTCCATGGATTGCAGTTTTAGGTTCTTGCATTGGCCTAAGACCTACAATGCACATGTCTGCCGAGTGTCCGGTGCACAGATGCTCACCCGCATGGGTCTTGGCCTCGAAACCGTCCAGCTCATCGGCAGATGGGGCTCCAAGGCGATCAAGCGCTGCGTGCAGGAGGTCCTCCACCATACACAGAGACGCCAAGAGACGTGTCACCAACCTCATCAACAAGTGCGAAAGCCTCAACCCCGCAACCAACGTCGTGCACAGACCGGGAGTGCCAGAGATTTGAACTCAGAGATGTGGCATGCTGTACCCTAAACCTCTAAGAAGCCCTTGCGTTTCCTTCACTTGGCATGACTGCCAGCAACGTGGGGCTGGGGATCGTTCTGAACACTAAACACTAAACCCCTAAACCCCAACCCCCAAACCCCAAACCCCAAACCCCCTAAACCCTAAACCCCCTAAACCCCCTGAACCCCCTGAACGCCCTAAACCCCCTGAACCCCGTGAACCCCCTGAAGCCCCCTAATTACGCCCCCTAAACCCCCTTCTAAACCCCCTAAACCCCCTAAACCCCTCTGAACCCCCAACCCCCTAAACCGTGAACCCCGAAACCCCCCAAAAAATCCTCCCGAGGATGTGGGGTGGCTGCCTCGGAGCCCAAGCGCTGAAGCAGGAGACTTCCGGGATTAAGCCTGTCTTCCCCAAAAGGGTTTAGGGTTAGGGGGGTTTAGGGTTTAGGGTTGAGGGTTGAGGGTTGAGGGTTTAGGGTCCTGGGGACATTATATGTTTTCCCAAATCTCGTATTGGGTGTACGAGGATCCTTGTCATGGGGGTTTAAGGGCCATCCTGGTCCCGCTTTAGGCTCAACCTCTCAGGGCTTTAGGGGTTTAGGGTTAGAGGGTTTTAGGGCTTTTGGGTTCTAGGGTTTTTAGGACTTTACGGTTTTAGGGTTGTAAGGTTTTCGGGGGTTTAGGGGGTTTAGGGCTTGAGGGGTTTTGGGGGGGGTTGGGGTTTAGGGTCTCGGGTTTTGGGGTTTGGAGTTTAGGGTTTAGGGCTTTAGAGGTATAGGGTGTCCGGGGCATGGCTTTGCCAAAGCAACATGGGTGCATGCTGGGCGGAAGATCTTCTTCAGGTCTGTCTCGGACGGGCGGTAATTGTAGCAAGCCTGTTTGTCTGCGAGGCGAACATCTGATGAGCTGAGGAAGCGGTTGACAAACTCTAAGGGTTTTGTTTTTTTTTTGGGGGGGGAATCCCTAGACCCCAAACCCCAAACCCCAAACCCTAAACCCTAAACCCCAGTTCCCTCAATCCGAGTGGGTTCTTCCAAGCCCCGCTGGAGGAGTCGCACGGCTTCTACTTCGAGGTGCGCATCGACGCTGTGACCACAGGCAGTGGCCCTCAGAACCGGGATTAGGGTCTAGGGTACTATTGGGAGTCTCGTGGGCCTTTAAGGGATGTGTAGGGTTTAATTAGGGTTTGGGGTCTATAAGCCATAAAGCCTAAGCCCAGCCTTAACCCCACCTAGACTCTAGACCCTGCAAAGCGCCTTTATAAGGTCCAAAAAGTTAAGGCGCCCGCTTGGGCCGTTAAGGCCCTACAACCCTAAAAGCCTCAGGGTCGACAATGAAGGGTCCTCATCTCCCAAGACCCCTAAGTCCCCGAAGTTTTAGAACCCTAGCCCTAAAGGCCCTAAAGCCCCTAAACCCCCTGAAGCCTGGGGTTGGAGGTGTCGGGGGGAAGGTTTCGAGGGCCTTCTATTCGGACTGGGCAGCATCCCCAGATCAATGCTGATGATGATGATCGTGTTAATCGTTGCATCCCGGTGTTCCTGTACGACGACGATACGATCACGAAAATTCATGGGTGGAGTGCTTTTCTCTCGGAGCTCGTCGATGGCCACGCACGCACTGGCCACTGTGTGTGATCAGGAAGAGGACTTGGCTAGCTTCAATCTGAAGGCTCTGCAGCACTTCATACATGGCATCCTCATGATCTCGAGGCTCTGTCAACGGGGTTCCGAGTTTCAGTCCACGACCTGGACTTTCCCTCTTAGGGGTTAGGGTTTAGGGTGCCTCGGGGTCTGAGGGTAGTTTCATGGGCCTTTTCATATGGTCCCCTACCTCCTTTAAAGGGTTCTGATATATGAACCATTGATTCATATAGGGTGTATAAGGAGTATATCAGGCTTTTTTTGGAAGGGCCCATATGAAGGGACCAGGTAACTACCCTTGGCTAGGGGATTATGGCAGAGGCACCTCGAGAACTTTCCTACAAAGAGCTCGTGTAGAGTCTCTTAGAATGGGCCATGAAGGGTTGAGGGATTTAGGGTTTTGGGCATGGTACAAGGCCCCTTCTTAATTCCCAGACTTAACACCCTAAACCCGAAACCCTAAATCCTAAACCTGAAATCCTAACCCGAAACCCGAAACCCGAACCCTAAACCCTAAATCCTAAACCCTAAATCCTAAACCCTAAACCCTAAACCTTAAGCAACCGGTAAGACGAGGCATGCCCGACGGCCTGGCCATCGGCGTGACCACCGACATACCGGACGAGGTGCGCGAGGCGCCACCGGACCTTGAAGAACCAAAGGGTTTAGGGTTTAGGGTTTAGGGTTTAGGGTTTAGGGTTTAGGGTTTAGGGTTTAGGGTTTGGGGTTTGGGGTTTAGGGTTTAGGGTTTAGGGTTTGGGGTTCAGCATCTCAAGTTCGAGCATGCACTAGGCCAGCAGTGTGTGTAGGCAACGGAAAAAACCCACCCGCCCAAAGAGCCCCATAACATTACGCGAATGGAAAGTTTTTTTGGTTCGTGTTGAACAATGGAGAGGGTGCAAGGGGTCAGAGGGGCCAAAATGGATGAGAGGGGCCAAACTGGATCAAATTGCTGCGTGCTGAACAATGGGGGGGTCAAAAGGATCAGAGGGGCCAAAATGGATCAAATTGCCTAATCCGTGCTGAACAATGGGGGGGTCAAAGGGGTCAAATGGATCAAATTGCCTAATTCGTGTTTAACATTTAGGGTTATGTGGCAGAGAGGTTAAGGGTTTGGGATTTAGGGTTCAGTGCGTAGGGTTTAGGGTTTGGGATTTAGGGTTTAGGGTTTGGGGTTTCGGGTTGGCAGAAATGCAGACCTACACCCTAAGCCCCCCGTCATCGGGGGCTACTGAGGGTTCATGCGGAGAGGGGAGGCAGGAGACTCGGGCTTGGATTTTTCGCCATGATGTTTTACGTTTACTTTTTTCATACCTCGTCACTTTCTGTACATGTTTCTAACCTAGCAACTTACATGGTCGCACACTTACTTACTCTTATGTTGATGTACGGATATACTTCTGTCTTAGACGCTTCGATACGTAGATACTTTCGAGGCTTATATACTTCTATGCCTTAAGTGCTTTTTGTGCATTCTAGTCTTCTAGTTAAGCGTTGGGGGTTTCGGGGCGGACAGGGTGTGGGGCGTTGGGGCTTACAGGCTTTAGGGCACACAGGGGCGTAGGAGCTAGCTTTGGGCTTCGACCCAACTTTTCGGAAGCCCCCTCCCCCCCCCCCCCCCACCCCCGCCCATGCCGTGCTGTTTTTTTTATTTTCTCGCAGGTGCCAGAGATTCTCGACGGCTTGAAGCAGGCGCTTTTGGGAATTTCAGGCTTCCCCCCCCCCCCTCAATTGCTGCTCACAGCTTGCCATGAGCTCTGACCAGGCAAGAGGCCTATCGATAGAGGGTTGTGGGTTTTGGGTTTAGGGTTCAAAGCCCCGAAACCCTACAACCTGTAAAGCCTGAGAAGGAATGAACCTTAAACCCTGCTTTTAGGCGTGGCTCATCGGTTTCGATGGCGTCATGTACGACAGCGAGGATTTCATTGAGCCTCAGCCCTTACGGGACTAAGGGAGGCGCCCTAAGCAGGGACGTCCTAGAGGGTCTGCTTGGGTAGTAGCTCGCTCCCTTAAAGGCCAAATAGCCCTAAAAATTTGGGATACCCTGTGCCCTAAAACCCTATATCCCTTATATAGACCTAGTAGTAGAGTAGGTAACCTTTAACTTTTTTGGGGTAGTGGAATCCCCTTATAATCCCAAAGGTTGACCTTTCATTGCTAGAGGGTTCATGCAGTCCCAAAGGTCCCCCGACAGGCTGAAGGCCCCCAGTCTAGAGGGGTGCCGACATGAAGTGGGGGTTAGTCCCCCGACAGGCTGAAGGCCCCCAGTCTAGAGGGGTGCCGACATGAAGTGGGGGTTAGTTCGGGTTCAGGGTTTTGGGTTGGAGGGTTTGAACCCTAAACCCTAAACCCCAAACCCCAAACCCCAAACCCTAAACCCTAAACCCTAAACCCTAAACCCTAAACCCTAAACCCTAAACCCTAAACCCTAAACCCTAAACCCTAAACCCTAAACCCTAAACCCTAAACCCTAAACCCTAAACCCTAAACCCTAAACCCTGTTCGGGGTTTAGGGTTTATCGGGTTTTGGGAGTAGCAGGGCTGGTCGACGTGTATAAAGAGCGCACCAGCATCCTCACACGGAATGCACGCCGTCTTCGCCACCCTGAACCCTAAACCCTAAACCCTAAAACCTAAACCCTAAATCCTAAAACCTGAACCCATTGAGCCCTGGCTGAACCCGAGGAAGTCGACTGGCATCCGGCCAATCTCCGGCCAGGCGCGGACGAAGCGCGCACACCCTCTGCCTGGGTAGGTATAACCCTAAAAGCTGTAGCTACTAATCTTTCGTAGGTGTAACCCTTAAAACCGTGGGTAAGTAGGTTCCTTTGAGATCCAAAGAAGGGCGCACTCGCGGCGCACCTGAACCCAACTCCAATGCTCCAAACCCTCAAACCCGCACCTCAAGCCGGCCCTAAACCCCTAAACCCCTAAACCCCACACCCCAAACCCTAAACCCTAGACCCCCAAACCCTACACCCCAAACCCTAAGCCCTAAACCCTCGACCCTTTTGGCGCCCACAAGAGATGCCCCCGAAGAGCCTCTTGCCCGGGCAGGTGATCGGGTTGGTGTTCTCGTGACGCCTGCGGGGCAGCTCAAGGCTTCGCTTGGGGTTTTGGGGGGTTGGGGTCTAGGGTTTAGGGTTGAGGGTTGAGGGTTTAGGGTTTAGGGTTGGGGGATGCGGGGCGTCGGGCTTTAATTTTCGGGCTTAGAGCAGTTTAGGGGTTAGAGGTTTGGAGGCTTTGGGGTTGAGAGGTTCAGAGGCTTAGGGGTTAGAGGTTTAGAGGCTTTGGTGTTTAGGGATGTAGAGGTTTAGAGGTTTCGGGGTTTAGAGTTTGAGAGGTGTAGGGGTTTAGGGTTTAGAGGTTTTGGGGTTTAGAATTTGAGAGGTTTAGAGGTGTAGAGGTTTAGTGGCTTAGAGGTTTAGAGGTTTAAGGTTGAGGGCTTAGGGATGTAGGGTAGTTGCTAGGTTCAAGAAACCAACCCAAATCCAAGATGTAGGGCTCCTTCCGTGGTTCAGGAGCCTTTGTCCGCGCTTGGGATTTGGGTCTTGGGCTTGGGGATTCGGGGTTGACTTGATGGAAGGAGTTTGGCGTTTAACCCTCAACGCTAAAATCTAGGGTTTCAGGGCTTTAGGTTTCAGCGGTTAGGGGGCTTGTCCAATACGCCCGGGCAACGCCACCTCGACCCTCTTGCATTGAAGTCATCCCTCTATTACTTTCTCTGGGTTTAGGGTTTAGGTGTGGCGTGTTCAGAGTTACTTTTGTTTTCCGCGTCTGGAGTTCGGCGTTTGGGGTGTAGGGTGCCGTGTCGAGGTGTACGTCAACGGGAAGTGGCGAGTCGATGGCCCATCCAACGTGGATGTGAGTGGGGGTCCCCAAAGCGCCGTTGCGGAAGGTTTTCTCTTTAGGGTTTAGGGCTCCTTCCCTACGAGTCACGCAAAAGGAGGTTTTCGAACACATCCTCCATCTTTTTGAATACCTTTAAGGCTCTTCCGTATCCCATGGGAGGGCTGCTGTGAGTCTTGGGCTCGTGGTGCCACGCGGGTCTTCCCAAAGTCCGTCAGCATCCCTGTAGTGAGTGAGACTGATTCAAAAACCTCAGGGACCACATGAACTCTAAAATTGGGATCATATTCCCTATACTACTAAAAAATGCCGATTGGGGCATATGAACCATAAACCTGTTTGAATTGCATTCGGTCCCCAAGGACGGGGACCCCGGGTCCCTTCAGTACTTATAAGTACGCCTTTAGAGGGTTTAGGGTTTAGAGCAGTTTCGGGTTGAGGGTTTAGGGTCTTGGTATTTTAGATCATGGCTTTCAAGGTTTGGGTTTTTTGTGGGAGTCTAGGGAAACCACACAGGTTTTTCGGACGCGAGGTTTAGGGTTGCAGGGTCTCCCTCCTCCCAGCCGGCACGGGAGGCCTATGCTGTGTTACTCGTACTGCTCGGGTAGAATCCGACTTACAAGGATTTCAGGGTAGGCCCTTGATTCCTGTTTTTAGGGTTCTGGTTCCCTTATGAGCCCTTTAAACCGAAAAGGGTACCCGATCTATTCATAGGTTTACTCATGGGTCTAGATTAGGATAGTAGCATACGCTGCGATCAGAGATCCCGCATGGGTTTTGGGTGATCGCTGGGAGCATCGGGGACATAGTGGCGCAGTAGGTACGCCAGGAATCCTCCTTTAGAACTGCCTACGAAGTCCCGCCTCTCATGCCGCCTTTCATTGGGACATGATCATCCCAAAACCCTATAAACCGCCAAACCCTGAACAGAGGCAAGAAGAAGTGAAACCCCTAAACCCGACATGTACTTGGAGGTTCACGGTACTTATTAACCAATTATTAATCTCCTTATAACCCACTTATAAGCCCCTTAAGGGCCCGAAATGTGTTTCTACTTGGGTTATAAGTACAGTTCTTATTGGGTTACTAAGTACCATGTCCAAGTACCCCCAGCCCTACCGGGAGGTTTCGGTTGAGGGCTTAGGGTCTAAAACTTCTAGGGATCAGGGTATAGGGTCTAGGGCGTAGGGGAAAAAGGGTTTAGGGTATAGGGCTTATAGGGTTAATGGTTAGCCCTAAAGTTGTAAGTAGCTGCCACTCGTTCTGGAACGACTGATCTACTCCTGAACCTCCAAGCACTTCCCAGAAACCTAAAGCCTGAAGCTTCCAAGCTCCCTAAATCCCTAAGCTCCCTAAACCTTCAAACCCTAAACACTATAAACCCCACCAGAAGCCTAAGGCCTAAACCCTAAAACATCCCTAAACCTCTCCAGCACAGATGGCGGGTTTAGCGAAATGGGGGACCCCGCCCAAAAGACAACTCTTAAATTGCAGGATCCCCTTACAATAAGGACCCCAACAAGGTATCCCTAAAATCGTAAACCCCAATATCCCCAATATCTCTAAACCCTAAACCCTAAATCCTAAACCCTATACCACGAAACCCCAAACCCCAAAAGATCCTCCGGAGCACCGAGGATGGGACCTCTACGCAGCGGTGGACCTCATCGGCAACACGGACGGCGTGGAGTGGATTCCGGAGGCCAAGGGTTTAGGGTTTAGGGCGTACGGTTGAGGGTTTAGGGTTCAGAGTTTAGTGTTAGGGTTTTTTCGTTTTTTTTTTTTGAGGGGGGTTTTGGGGTTTGGGTTTTACGGTTTATAATAGGCTTTAGGGTCCAGGGTTTAGAGTTTATTTGGGGGGTCATAGGGTTTTGTGTTTAAATGTAAGGTGTGGTGTGCAGGGCACCGGGGAAAATAACAGAGACCATTCTTAAGCCCCTTGGTGGGCGAGCGCAGCTTTCGGCTCTCCAGGTGCTAAGGCTTGGGATTTTGGGGGTTTAGGGTTTAGGGTCTAGGGTTTAGGATTTAGGGTTATTCCTAGGTAGGATAAAGTTTTAAGGGGGACCCTAAAAAAAGGTGACCCTTCTTGACCTGTTCTGGCTCTCTTAAACAGGGACCTGATTCAGAGGGTCTATATCCCCAAAGGTTCCCCTAATCCTCCTATAGGGTTTCAGGGCTTTAGGGTTTAGGGAGTCATGCAGGCCATCATAGCCGGTTCAGGGTTTCGGCTTAAAGAGAGACTGGGGGTGGTGCCTCCACCTCTTGAGTGGGTCCCTTGCCCCCTAAACCTTAAACTTTAGTGGTTTGGGATCTAGGTTTAGGGTTTAGGGCCCCAAACCCTAAACCCTAAACCCAAAACCCTAAACCCTAAACCCTGAACCCTGAACCCTTAACCCTAAACCCTAAACCCCTAAACCCTAAACCCTAAACTAAAACCCTGTAGACCCTATAAACCCTAACACCCCACGGAGCCCAAGTAGAGCCAGGCGCGCTGCCCAGCGCTCCGGGCTTCCGCCACGCCGTTCCTTGGCGTGGAAATGCGCGATTCGGGTTTAGGGTTTGGGGTTTAGGGTTTGGGGTTGGGGTTTAGGGTTTAGGGTTTGGGGTGTAGGATTTGGGGTTAAGGGTTTGAGGTTAAGGGTTGGGGGTTTAGGGTTTAGGGTATGGGGTTTAGGCTTTGGTGTTTAGGGTTTGGGGATGTTTAGGGTATAGGGTTTAGGGTTAGGGTCTAGGTGGTGGGGGGTTTGGGGGGTTCTGGGCTGAGGGGTAGTTCTCCAGAGTAGGGGGCCTTTCGGGGTCCTTTTCTGTAATTTAACAGTGCTGTGCTAGAGGAGTACCCAAAAAGGGACCCGCGTTTAGAGAACTGCCCTTATGGGTTGGGGTTTCGGGGTTAGGGTTTTGGGGCGGTTGAAGACTCACTATAGTCTCTGTTGGAATGCTGCGTAAAGTCAGGCCCTAAGCCCCAAGCCCCAGGCCCTAGGCCCTAAGCCCGAAGCCCTAACCCCTAACCCCTAACCCCTAACCCCTGACCCCTGACCCCTGACCCCTGACCCCTAACTCCTTACCCCTAACCCCTAACCCCTAACCCCTAAACCAAACCCG